AGGCATTCTTCCCCCAGTATCTCTTTTGCATAGGCTCCAGATTCCTAAAGGACCCAACTCCTTATGAAGCTGCAAGTAAACTGGAGTTTCGGCGCTCTTCTACCCTTCCCAACTTGGGCATGAGCACCCTAATCTGCAGCCAGATTATGACATTTTATTCTATTCCACTCCTTACTTTCCTCTCTCCCACAACCAGACCATGTTCCCTTTCTCCTTTACTTTGTTTTTGAGAGGAATTGATAGAATGGCCCAATTTCGTATTGGTCTCCCCTACTCTCCTGTCGTTCCAAATGCATGTCCTACCACATTCACTCTAGACCTGAATTCTGAATTTTTATTTTAGTTTCACAAGTGGGTTTGAGACCCCAATTGGGCTTCTTTCCCTGATTGTTGGCTCTTTTCTGGGACTGCTGTGACTTCTCCAGCTTTACTACACTGACTGCTCCTTTACAACTGGCTTCCTCTTTCTCTTGTCTTAGTGTCTTTATACTTGATAAATTACACATGGCAGTCTCTGCTGGGATGTGGCACCTACCAGAAATGGAAGTATCACAAAAGTGCACTCAGTAGCAGCTATAAGATGGGTAAATGTTCAGAGCTGGACATACTGCATATTGAAGAAACTAATAGATGTGCTCTTAGAGCCATTGTAATTTTTAATAAACCATGGATAAAATGAGAGAGATACCAAGGCATTTAAGATAAGCTAGAGTTGTCTGAATTTCTAAAAGGGGGAAAGAATGGATTATGAAATTTTTCAACAAGAAGCTTAGTATCTACCCTTGACAAAATTCTAGAATGAATGAATGATTAAATAGATGATTTGCAAATATTTAGAAAACAAAATTTGGCTCTTAGAAGAAAATGACTGAAAGTATTTGTCACTGTTAATTTACTTAGAATGTATTATTGCAGAATAACTCCACTTTTTTAAAAAGTAGGATTTTTCAGATTGGTAGAGTGAGTCTTACCAAGAACCGATGTGTCTCAATGGCAATAAAGCATTTGAAAAAAAATCGCCTGAAATAGCCTTTGGAGAAGATGATAAATATGAGCTAGATAGGAATACTTCTAGGAGGAAGCATTGCCTCTTTTTAAGACTTGCTCAAACAATAATTGATAGGTCTGGCAGTGTTCTATGATAGAGTCAGAAAGCCCTATGTTTAAGCCTTATCCTGAAAAAAAGTTTTAATAATTGAATTAATACATAACAGATGGGCTAGGAGAATTAAACCCTCTGACATGAGAGTGTCATATCACATTCGGAGCTATGGTCACGAAGATGTGCATACACACATATACACATCTTTGCATTCAAGCACATAAAAGTGTGACAGAAACATAACTAAGAATTTAATTATCATGACTGTCACAATTAAAAATTTAGTTAATTTTTGAGATTATTGTCCATTTATAATGATGAGTTAATGGTATAATATGGTGGCAGTCTGCCATAGTGTTTAAGGGCACAGGCTTTGAAGTCCAGTCCCCCTGGGTTTCAAATTCAGCTGTATTGCCTAGGAGCTGTCTGACTTGGACCAAGTTACATGGCCTTTTGAAGCTTCCAGTTTTCCTTTTATATAAAATGGAGATTAAAATAATAACTACTTTCAAGGTGTTGTTACAAGGACTAAAGAATATGAATGTCATTTTTTTTTTTTGAGACGGAATCTCGCTCTGTTACCGAGACTGCAGTGCAGTGGCACGTTCCCAGCTCAGTGCTGCAACCTCTGCCTCCCAGGTTCAAGTGATTCTTTTGCCTCAGCCTCCTGAGTAGCTGGGATTACAGGTGCGCGCCCCCACACCTGGCTATTTTGGTATTTTTAGTAGAGATGGGGTTTAACCATATTGGCCAGGCTGGTCTCAAACTCCTGACCTCATGATCCATCCACCCCGGCCTCCTAAAGGGCTGGGTTTACAGGCATGAGTCACCATTCCTGGCCCAGGAATGTAATTTTTTTAAAAAAAAGAATGAAAACCTCTCAATCCCATGCTATATGAATAATATATTTGTGTATAAATCAAATTGGCAGCTAATGAGGAAAATGTTGGTCAGTGATGATCACTGAATTTAGCAGGGACATTGAGTAAAGCTAGTGAACATTAAAATCAAGGTGTACAGGAAGACTAAGGAGGCTGAAAGAGCTGAAGGAACTATAGAGATGAGATTAAGGGGAATGAATCACTGTATCCAAAGATGTAAAGAATTGTTATAAAGTTCACCATTGCATCTAAAACATAAACAGGACTAACGACAGTAAGTTATAAAAAGAAAACACTTTTTTTTTTTGCTTCTAGTAGGATATTAATTAAAGGTCCAAGATTCGAAATGGTGTGTTGTGTCATGATATAATCTGTGGTCTGGGGAAGGGCGTGCACATGCCTTTGCAATTAGATTGTGAACTTTTCAGGGCCAGGGCTTGATCATTAACTTTTTATTCCGTAAGTAATTGCCAACAGTAATTACTTAGGGAAGATTTGGTGAATGAACAGATAAATGAATGATTTATACATACATAACACATGTAAGAAAATTTTATTATATGAATATTGTAGCAATGTAGACATGGCCAGTGAAGGGAATATTGGAAGGAAAAAAAAAACCTCTAGACTGTCAAAAATGTTTAGTAAAATGCATTTTGGATGGTATCGTTAATGCTGGATTATATACAACTTGATTAATAAAAAGGAAGTTTTAAGAGTTCCAGAAAAGTAACAAGTTGAACAAAATTCTCAACTATGGATGATGGACCTATTTACTCACTAACACCATGGTCCCAACATTTAGATACAGGCACTAACATTTAATAGTTAATTATTTCTGTTGTATGCTTCCAAACCCACAAAATATATGTACACACACACACACACACACACACACACACACACACACACACCACACTTATTTATACAGACGGACATGTGTATCTCCTCTAATTCTCTCCTTATAGCCTTAAACATTTTCTCTTGGAGATACTTGTCATTGCCTCATTGTGCTTATTCAGGTCACTTGGGTTGGATGCTGTGGCATAGTCAGACTAATGATTGCGTGCTTCATTCAGCAGAACAATTTTTTCATTTGCACTTATTCCATTCCCTTCAGACACTTCTAGTTTCCCCTCTGATAGTACTTCCCTCCCCATTATGCAATATGGTTCACTGCTGGGGCCCATTTGGGCACAAACCAGATATTTTGTTGAGTTACTGTACTCCTACCTTTCTAATTATAGAATTCAAAACAGAATGAGTGAATTAATGGCATGAATTTATTTCCTGCAGTGTCTGGGGCAGTGAAATGCTGCAGCATGCTTGCAATAGCACATAAGCTCTCCCTTCACTCCTTGTCCTCCATTTTTGCTCTGTGGCTTCACAGCAGCAAGAATGGAAGGTGCATTTTTCTCACCAGTGAGTAAATCATGTGAATGGCTATTTTAAAGCACATGACCTATGTGCAGTTCACAGAGAGATCTATACTTTCAAAAGCTCTCTGAGAACATATGCTTGGAATATGAAAATAGTAGTACTAAGTACAGTATTTTCTCAGGCATCCTAGGTAAGGCAAGAGTGTATAGGCATAGGCAACATTTAAATGTGTGTTGTTACATTTCGTTTCTCCAAATAATTGTTTGATGTTTGATTCTACAGCCCTTCAGTGCAGGCAAATACTTGGAATATTAGCATCATAGAGATAAAATTCTCAATTACCAAAAGACTGTAGAAGTCACTTTTCTTTTCCTGATACTAGGAAGGATTCTGATTCAAGGAAGCAGTTTGTTCCTCTGGTCTTGTGTGACAGCCTGTATCTTCAGGTCCATGCAGGTTGATGCACACCAAAAAGTGGATTCAAAGCTGCCTGATTCAAGGCTTAGTGATTGGGAAAGATGAGGAGTTAATTTTCATTTTCATTTATTGATTAAGATAAATGAAATCCCTATTTGATTAAGATTTTTCGTAGAAAGAGCCAACTTTCAGATATAATGCCCAGGATAGGTTAAGGCAAAAATCAGCCCTTTGATATATAAATGCTTCCATTAGGTTGGCAGATTTCACTAAGCTCTTTTTAGGAAGAAAATGCTAAAATTTAAAATAAAACACGGAAATTATTACAAGAATGAAAAGTGTGAAGGAATGACTTTAATAAATAACATTGATGATGTATACTGAAAATGTAATGTCCAGAAAAGGAGAGTGAAAACTCCATCACATAGTACTGTGGGTAACTAGGATGATGTTCACACTAGATAATGATAAGTATTACTTTTTCTTTGTAAATTACACTCATAGGCATCCCAGTCACAGGCAGAGTACTAGGCCAGAGGGACTATGGTTCTAACCCTCAGAGAACAGTTCTTGTTAGATAGATTTCTTTCTATCTAACTTTCTAGAAAGTCTACGATGGCTGATGTAATTCCAACACATTCGTTATTTTTAAAAGCAAAAGCAAAGTAAAAGCAATTAAAGTGTTTTCTTCTTGGGCTTATGGTTTTCAGGCTCCAGGTTTATCATGAGATATGAACCATGTTATTATGCTGTATTTTTTCCATACAAATAAGATGTTCAGATGTCTGTCATTTAATTCAATACTGTGTGAACCATTGTGTGTATTCAAACATTCAGCATATTTTATAACAAAATTAGTAAAAACTTTATATTGAATATTAGTTTTATCCTGCCCATATTGTCAGACATATTTAAATGATGTATATATAAACAAAATTTCTAAACTAAAAAATATATTAAAGCATAGACAAATTGAAATGCATATCATACAATATTCTAATACTTCTTCCACAATTACTTCCAACTTTATTTATTTTTTTTTAGTATCCAAAATAAAATGAAGGCCAAGGTTTCAGGATTCTTAAGAGAATTTTTTTTTATGTTCTAGTTCCTTGTCACTATGCTGCATTTAACTGTGTGAAATAGCAGATGTGAAATAAACTATAAATGAATTATGCATATGTTCCAGATTTGTCATCTATTTTTTTAACTTTTTTCAGCCATCGATCTTATCAACAATTTGCTGCAAGTAAAAATGAGAAAGCGCTACAGTGTGGATAAGACCTTGAGCCACCCTTGGCTACAGGTAAACAATAATCATTGAGTTTTGTTAGCTGAATGAACTTCTAAATATTTATAGGATTTTGATATTTAGAAATCTTTTGCAATAATTTTTAAAGTGTGATTATTCTAATATCAATTTGTTTGCTCAAATGCATGCAACTTCATAAGATTTAATAACAATTTAGTGTTTCTAAACATTTTTTTCTACCAGGATTACTTGATAGAGGAGATAAACACACACATACACACACACACACACACACACACACACACACACACACACACAATCCCTAAACCCAAAAGCAAAACCAAAAATAAATAAATAAACCAAGGATCATAACGGACCTCAGAGGACCAGATTTCAAAAGCATCTGTATATGTAATCCTGATAAATGTACAAATAGATGCCCATCTGGTCATGCACTATACTCATTTAGAAGCTATATTTTTAAATGCTAGGTTATTACGTATGGAACAAATGCATGGCAAATACAAAGGATATACATCTGCTTCTATTCTCTTAAATATTTATTATTTTCATATTGAATTTCAAGTTTAGAAAAATAATACTCTGAAATACTGAAGGATTATTTGTAGGCGTTGAATTTCAAAGGAATACCAGCATTCATGATTGCTTGACTGCAAACGTTAATTGCCTACTCTTTGATCCATGGTGTCATATACACAGTATGTATTTGCAAAGATTAGGTAAATAGGTTGGTTTTGGTGCCGATGATGGCACTTGAGGATGCATGATGAAAGATTCAGTGCTGTTACAGTAGAAGGAAAAGGGTAACTCATAGATTGTGGAAACTGACAACATATGAAACAGCATGTTGATTGTAATGATCTCTCTGGTAATATTTTGGAATTTCTTCTTCAGGACTATCAGACCTGGTTAGATTTGCGAGAGCTGGAATGCAAAATCGGGGAGCGCTACATCACCCATGAAAGCGATGACTTGAGGTGGGAGCAGTATGCAGGCGAGCAGGGGCTGCAGTACCCTGCACACCTGATCAATCCAAGTGCTAGCCACAGTGACAGTCCTGAGACTGAAGAAACAGAAATGAAAGCCCTTGGTGAGCGTGTCAGCATCCTCTGAGTTCCATCTCCTATAATCTGTCAAAACACTGTGGAACTAATAAATACATACGGTCAGGTTTAACATTTGCCTTGCAGAACTGCCATTATTTTCTGTCAGATGAGAACAAAGCTGTTAAACTGTTAGCACTGTTGATGTATCTGAGTTGCCAAGACAAATCAACAGAAGCATTTGTATTTTGTGTGACCAACTGTGTTGTATTAACAAAAGTTCCCTGAAACACTAAACTTGTTATTGTGAATGGTTCATGTTATATTTAATGCATTAAACCTGTCTCCACTGTGCCTTTGCAAATCAGTGTTTTTCTTACTGGAGCCTCATTTTGGTAAGAGACAGAATGTATCCATGGAATAGTTCTGTTTGATGTGTCCCATTGGTGTTGTCATTGTAAACAAACTCTTGAAGAGTCGATAATTTCCAGTGTTCTATGAACAACTCCAGAACTCATGTGAAAGAATAAATGAATGAGGGGGGTAGGGAATAAAATCCTGAGACACAAATGCATGAACAAGTGTTAATGTATAGTTTCAAATCCTTTGCCTTCCTGGTGTGCCTCAGTATATTTAAACTCAAGACAATGCACCTAGGCGTGCAAGACCTAGTGCTCTTAAGCCTAAATGCCTTAGAAATGTAAACTGCCATATATAACAGATAAATTTCCTTCTTTATTATAATACTCTGTTGTACTATGGAAAATGAGCTGCTCAGCAACCTTTCACCTTTGTGTATTTTTCAATAATAAAAAATATTCTTGTCAAAATATGTATCCATCTGAGTGAATTATTTTCATTCATAGTTCACAGTCAGGTTTTCAGTCCAGCAAGAGTGGAGATGTCTGCTCAAAAAGCAGGAAGAAATGCTCATAGTCTAGAATATAGCCTTCTCTACTCTGAAGCAGTACAAGTATGTTTCAAAGTGGAGTGAAGCCTTTCTGTCTTGCATATGGTTTAATTTCCAATAGAAAGGAAGAATTTCAAAGTGAAAAGTGACCAAAGTCAAACAGAGTACTTGGAGGCATAAGTAGGAATATTGCAAATACCATCTTAATGAATGCAGCTTTCTGATTTAGTAAGGAAAAGCTAGGGATTTATTAGAATACCAGATCTAGTTTCTTTTCATATCCTCTAAAGATGGTTCTGAGGTGAAGCAAAAAATCACTTGAAGACTGGAAAGTAATCCCGAAACAGAAAGGCTTATCAAATGAAGTTATACAGCCTGGAGAAGAGAAATTGGACCTAACAGATTTTAGGTACATAATGTGAGTAATGTGGGCTGTTTTTCTTAGTAGCAGGATAGCAATATTATGCTGCATAACAGAAAAAAAATGTAATTAATGTTTGGAAGAATGTTACAAGACTTGTGAAACAGTTGAATATATTAGATAAGTATGTTAAGATTGTACTCTTTCCACATGGAGGAATAAGGGGACAATAGATAATCTTTCTAATGATTAGTCTCTGTTTTGTATTATTACTGAACTTAAAAGGTAAAAAAAAATGTAAGCGTTCCTTAGTCTGCTTTTCTCTAGGAGGAGAGTATGTGTGCGCGTGCGCATGTTTGCAGGCATCCGCAAGTGAATTTGCATACACAAACGTACATGTGCCATCAAGTTGAAAATAGAATGTTAATCAGTAAGACAATGACTCTCTTGCCAACCTAGGAATATAACTGGCACCTTTCCTATGATATCTTTTCTAAGCAATTTCAGGAAAATGAAAAAGGAGTGGAAGCATGTAAAGTTCTTCCCTCTTAGTATGCGCACAATATAAATTAGAGGCTTATAGTTCAAATTATGATAATTTATATAGCTGATATGCCTATGTTTAATCAGCTACAATATAAAATGTAGTCAATAACTTTTCTTGCTTGATAATGGGATCCTAAAAAGATTATAGGAACATAAACCATGGTAATACTATCCATATTGTATAAAATATCCTAGAGTCCTTGATGATTAGGAAGAGTAACCAAATATTACTCTACATTATAAAACCACACAGAAGTCAATTATTCATGCAGCAAAAAATTATTTCACATCTGTTCTACACAGCTTTTTGCTGGATTTTAAGATTTTGTAATGTGAATAAGACATGGTCCCTGCATAAAGTAAATGTATTAGATAGAAATGAATAAACATAATAAATTGTTGGTGCTTTTAGAAAATAAGATGTAAAGATATGAGGCATCATGGAGAACAGTTAATAATGGAAGAAGAAGGCAACATAATGATGTTTGAGCAGAGCTAGAAAAAATCATGTTATACACCTGGCTGAAAGTAGGAGAAAACAGCATGAACAAAGATGAAGGTCCAAAGAGAGCTGTTACACTGACAAAAGTAGTTCTTTACGAAGAAGAATAAAGGTAAGGAAGAAATGAAGACGTCCATCCAGTAGATATGGGTGATGCTCTTGGTCTGGAGGCCCTTGTATGTTATTCTGGGGACTTGGGATTTATTCTGTGTAAATCCCAGGAAACCAGCATTTTTTAAAATTGCATTTTAGGCTTTGGGGTACACGTGAAGAACATGCAAGATTGTTGCATAGGTACACACGTGGCAGTGTGATTTGCTGCAACATTTTTTAAGCTGAAAGGACTATTAATCAGAAGCAGTTAGAGATTTAGAAAGAGTGAGTTCACATTTTAACCTTTGTGTATGAAGTTTCTGTAGGGCACCCAAGTTTGAAATGTTCTGAAAGTAGTTAGAAATGAGTTTGGGGTTTAGGAAATAAATCTGGAATTGAAGATAATGGATTCGAAAGTCAACAGCCCAAAATATGTTGATGGGAATGATTCATCCTGGGGGAAAATAAATATAATGAAAGGAAAGTGGTCATAGGACACAAACCTGAGAATTATTGATATGGAAGGGTCAGTCAGAATAAGGAAAGTTGAAAAGAAATTTTCAGAGGTAGAATCAAATGGAGTAGTAGTACAGATATCAACATAAGAAGTAATTTCAAGGATTAAATAGGTAATAGTAGAAAATATTATAGCAAGGTAATAATTTTAGCCTTTTGGGGGCACCCTTACCAACTATTTCAGCAGTTCGTAGTGAACAGGACTTTCCTGCTACATTCAGAGTAGCTATGTCAAAAGAATCTCTGTGTGGCAATGGTACTGACAATGATACTGTCATCAAGCAAAGGAATGAGAAAGCCACTGCCCATGTCAAGGAAAAAAGTGGGCCACTAAAAGTCATGCTACTTTCTGCCACCTACAATATTAGCGATGCTGCAAAGACTCCAATTTTAGTAAATCAGCACCCACTTTTGTGTTAAATACCCACAATAAATTTGCTCAGCCTCACATCAGTGGTATGTTATAATAAATAATATGGGCAGGCGAGCAGTTTATATTTAATGCAAGATGCAGATTAACATTTTTGATGCAGAAAAGGTATCATTATGACAAAAGTAAAAGAAGTGACAGAAACTCCTTTGAGGCAGGATGTGTCCTCTATCATTGTCATATATTTCTTTAAAAAGCAATATTGTCAGCTCACCCAAAATGCCGTGAAAATTGCTAGCCTCTCTGTATCCAGAACCATTAGAGCAAACTACCACGGTCCTTGCTTTTGGCCTGAGCAAGCACACAGCCCTGAGAGAAATGTTTTCATCAGTGATGCTTTTTATATGTCCATTGTCCTTAAGGGAGAAATAATCTTTGAGTTAAGTGAATACCCACTCTGATGGAGACAATTTTGAGAAATATATGGTCAGCCACTTTATTGAATGTATATAATAAGTATAGTGATTAAAATAAGAAAACCATCTGTCCCCTCCTCTCTTCATTCATTTTCCAATCAATATTCAGTCTGACGACCTTCATAAAGTAATTACATTTTGCATACCCTTTGTTTAGACCTATTTTAAGTAATCAAATACTAGTTCATCTGAAGATACATTAAGGCCCATGGAGAAGGGTCTGCTACCTTTAATTGCCAAAAGACAGGACACTCTTTCATTTCTGATCTTTCCACATTGCCTGAAGCACTGTTCTCTCTGCCCTACTCCCTCTACTGTGTTAATGCCTATTAATCCTTTTGCCATTTGTTTGCCCGAGGTCTCCTGTCCTTTTTGTTCCCATGCTCCTCTTTAATTGCCTCTTTTGTGCTAGATACATATTTTTAGTAAAACATTTTAATTTCTTTGTTGAGTTTTTATTATTTATTTTAGTTATTTTCTTGATGATTCCTCTAGGGATTATAATATGCATATTTACTTATCACTATCTACTTCAAATTAACATTAACTTAATTCCAGTGAAATATACAAACTTTGCTCCAATATCACTCCATTCCCTCCACCCTTCTTTGTGATATTATTGTCATATATATTACAGTTTTATGTGTTGAAATAATTTTGCAATATTGTTTTATGCAATTATTCTTTAAATCAGTTAAGAAAAAACAAAATATTTTTTCCTTTACATTTACTTACCTTTTCCATTGTTCTTTATTTTTTTCATGCAAATCAAGGTATAATCTATTGAGTGTCATTTCTATTCTGCCTGAATATCTTTCTTTAGTGTTTCCTTGAGTCAGGTCTGCTAGCAACAAATTCCCTCAGTCTTTTTATATCTGGCAATGTTTTTATTTCACCTCTGTTTTTGAAGTGAAGTTTTGCTGGGTATAAAATTATTGGTTGACAGATTTTTTTTTTTCCCCTTCAGTATTTTAAATATATCATCCCACAACCTTTTAGCCTCTGTTATCTCTCATGAAAGATCACCATTAATCTTACGGTGGTTTCCTTACATGTGATAAATTGCTTTCCTCACTGCTTTCAATATTTTCCCTTTGTCTTGCAACAGTTTATGATGTGTCTAGGTGTTGGGTTTTTCTTGTTTGTTTTGTTTTCTTTTCTTTATTTCGATTAGCCTTCTTGAGTTTGTTGCAATTCTTGGATGTGTAGATAAAGTTTTCCATCCAATTTGAGAAAAATTAGGCCATTATTTCTTCAAAGACTTTTCTCTCCCTTTTCATCTTTTCTGTCTGGGATTCCCATTAAATATAACTTGGTGTGCTTTGGTGAGTGCCAAAGGTTTCTGAGGCTCCATTCATTTTTCTTCATTCTTTTTCTTTCTGTTCTTCAGATTGGATAATCTATATTGATCTGTCTTCAGCTTCATTGGTTCTTCTTTCTTCTAGAACAAATCTGCTGTTAAGTACCTCTGGTGATTTTTTTCTTTCTTTGTTTCTATTTTATTATGAAATATACTTCTCTTTTATAAAAAATATTTTCCGTTGACTAAGTCGCTGTTATACTTCCCTTCATTTTTTAAATGTGGTTCTCCTGTGTTTTTAAAGCGTATTTATAATAACTGCTCTGAAGTCTTTGTCTATTAAGTCCAACATTTAGGCCTTCTCCCTCTCTTTCCACCTCATCAGAGACAATTTCCATTGAAATCCCCAAAGTATGATGTATCCATCACACTTTGCTGTTTCTTTGTCATGTCTTGTTGAAAAATTGATATTTTAACTAATATATCATAGCAACTCTTAATTGTGATCCATTCCCCCAGTAGCTATTGCTGTTTCTATTTGTTTGTTTAGTAACTTTCCAAAATTAATTATCTAGAATCTATCTTCCCCATAGTATGCAGCTGCTGATTGCTCTGTTTTTTGTTGTTGTTTTGTTTTGTTTTTTGTTTGTTTGTTTTTATGTTTGTGTTGTTTGTATTTTTAAGTGTAGCTTCCTAGGAGCCACCTCTATAACAGAATAGCTTAGTGGCCAAAAATAATAGTTCAGACATTATTTTTA